ACACACACACACACACACACACTCACACACACACACACACACACACAGACGCACACACACTTTTCTGACCTTCATGAACAAAGGGGGTATTATAACACCCCTTCATCTGCGCTGAGAAGATGCCGCTTGACCTGAACTTTATACAGGTGATAATAATTAATACTGTCGTCCTCGGCCACTCTCTCCGTGCCCGTTACGTCATGAACAGCTCTGCGGAGATAACCACACAGCATGCACAGGCTTGACAGGTCAATCACGTGATAGTGTGGAGAATTCTAATGTTGTGAGCCACGACGTGGTGAAATCAGACTCTCAGCAATAAAATTTCTTTGGGGCACTTGGAGTTGTTTGTATAATCTTAAAGGTTGTGTATTTGTCTTGATTTTGATTAAAATAAGCCATACTTATCATGAATAGAAGTGGAAATAGTTGCTATTAATTAAGGAGGTGGGATCACCTGCGTGCCAGGTTTTCGGTGAGGTTGCTCAGATAGCAAAAAAAACCCCCAATACAATCGGGGATTGTATTTTCTCTCAGTTGACCACTGTTTTATGATTATCCGTGTACCTTTCAAGTAGAATCCTCTGTATGGTTACAACAGAAGTACAATCGAAACTTTATGAGTATTAGACGTCCATCTATTGTTGGTGAAAAAGACAGGTGGTCGTCCTGCAATGTGTCATAAATGGTAAAAAAAAAAGAAAAGTAAAATACGAAAGGGATATTTCGGAAGCGATCGTTTGTACAGGTGATTGTCTTATACAACTGGCCGTCAGAGCAGATTTGATTATGTATAAGCGAATCGTTGTTTTTTTTTTTGTTTTTTTTTGGGGGGGGGGGTTCTTCGGTTTTGTTTATATTGTTTCTTTTTTTTTCTGTCGGAACAGGAATTGGTCCCACACTGGCCACAGACGTGCAGGTGCAGTCGGAGATAGAGTGTGCGCGTGTCTGCTTCATGAACAAGACTTACAGCGACGCCTGCTGCATGGTTTTATTCAAGGTGGATTCTTCTTCTTCTTCTTCTTCTTCTTCTTCTTCTTCTTCTTCTTCTTCTTCTTCTTCTTCTTCTTCTTCTTCTTCTTCTTCTTCTTCTTCTTCTTCTTCTTCTTCTTCTTCTTCTTCTTCTTCTTCTTCTTCTTCTTCTTCTTCTTCTTCTTTTTCTTCTTCTTCTTCTTCTTCTTCTTCTTCTTCTTTTTCTTCTTCTTCTTCTTCTTCTGCTGCTGCTGCTGCTGCTGCTGCTGCTGCTGCTGCTGCTGCTGCTGCTGCTGCTGCTGCTGCTGCTGCTGCTTCTGCTGCTGCTGCTACTTCTACTACTATTACAGTAACTGTTACGACTGTGTTGTACTACTCAAACAGGTAGCGAGGACATACTTATCATTGAAAACTTCATATTGAGGCACGAAAAATGTGGTTTGAAGTTCAGTGAAGAGGAGAGACTAATCAAATCTTTGGATGGTATTGGTAACTGGAAGTCAAATAAAAATATTACTGAAATGTGCGTGACTCTGATCTTGCACGGCTTTGATATTGAATTATTTCCTTCGAAAATGCCAGACACTGACGATTTCCCATCGGATACTTTATTTATGTTGTTCCATGACCTTTTTAACCACATCTATCCAGCTCCTTTTTGGTCTCCTCTAGATTTTAAGCGATATTCACAGGTGTGGTAGCTTTTGCCGTAAGTTGTTTCTGGAGCAATCTGATTAGATGTCCGAACCACTTGACTCTTTGACGCTCAAGGAAATTCATAATTGGTGGTATTCCGGTTTGTAGACGTATGGTCTCGTTTCTTATGAGGTCTTTTCAGGTGGCATTGGTGGTTTTGCGGAGACACACTCATTTCGCACACATTGATTTTTCTTTCTTGTGCTTAATTTAGGGACCATGTTTAACAATGGTACGTTAAGATTCGTATAACTTAGGTATGAAGATACTCTTTACAAGCTGGGATTTCACTTTAATTGGGATGTGTTAGTGAATGAGTAGGGGTGCTAGCTGGTAGGTCACTGATTTTTGTCTTCTTAGTTCCTTATTTTATTTGTATGTCCATATATGTGAAGGCGCTTCCCAAATATTTGAGTTCCTCTGCTTGTTGGAGTTGTGTTGTGTCAACAAGGATGTTGAGAGACTCTGGGTTTCTGCTGACCTTCATAACTTCTGTTTTTGAAATGGAGATTTTTAATGATTAGGTGTTTACATTCCCTATTTAGTCTTGTGGTGTGTTTTTATAATTCCTCTTCATTTGAATCTAATAATATTATGCGCTGGTCTACGGCCTATAGGAGCTCGTTCAGTTCAGTGATGTTGTCATTTGCTGCATTCGTGTTCTTATTAATAAGCCCTACTCTGTTTCCTTTTTTTTTTAAAGAAGGCAAAAAAAAAGGAACCAAAATTAAAATGAACCTTCCCACAAAAAAAAGTTTTTTAAAAAATCCTGAGTTTTCTAATTTTGAGCAATTCTGGTCGATGACTTCATGAAAGGAATACGTTACGCCTTTCTTTGTTGTTTTGTTGTTGTTTTTTTGCTTCTGTTTTGATTTTGTTTGTTTTTTGTTTGTTTTTGTTTATTTGTTGTTTTTGTTTAAAAAAATTAATTCAATATTCACTGACACACACAGTTAATGTTTGACATTGGCGATATCTTTCACTCCGGCAGCATGAACAACAACAGGGCCTGTACTGTGGGTTGAATATTGAATGGAGGGATCCGGACACAATCACAAGCAAAGGTTAGTCCAAAACTGCAGGGATCGTGCAAATAGATATTAGATGGGCTACAATGAATGCATATCTGTATTGTTATATTAATAGTGTTATGTTATTTCTACTACGGACGTATTTTTAAATCAATAATAATAATAATAATAATAATAATAATAATAATAATAATAATGATAATACAATGATATAATAATAATAATAATAATAATAATAATAATAATAATAATAATAATAATAATAATAATAATAATAATAATAATAATAATAATAATAATAATAATAATAATAATAATAATAATAATAATAATAATACAAATAATAATAACAGTAATAACAATGATAGCAATAATTATATAAAATAGAACATTGAATGAGTGTTTAGAAAGAGAACAACTTACAAATATTTAGCAAGCGATTCTGGTATACTAAATGTTCTATGTTGTGTTGATAGAAGTGTGCGTATCACATCTACAATTTGAAATTAGAGCTGGGAGGGGTGGGGGGAGCTCTAGTGGCTAAGTGAACAGTGCGTGTAGACTCAAGAGTAAAGTCAAACAAATGTCGGTGACACGGGTGGTCTCTGGGGTGTGTCCTTGAGCAAGACACGACAATCCAAGCTCAACAAACAGGGCGTTGCAAAGTGACGACCATCCATGTCATGGTTGTGAAATTGTTCTCAATTGGTGTTTGTTTGTTTTAATAAGGCTTTACGGCGTTCGCAACTGCATAAGTACATATAAGTGTCAAGAGGAGGATGTCAACAAAGAAGTCCAACCGGAATATCAGATTTAGTCTGCTCACCTCTCTAGCCTCAACAGCACAAAGTCTGCCTCGACTTTCAAGGCACCCCGGAAATAGCAGTTCACAAGAGAGTGACAAACATACAAAAGAAATAGAATAAAAATTACGAAAGAAAGGATGAGGAAAGAAAAAGCAGCAGTTGTCCCTATGTTGTTCCGGAACAGTATGAGCATGACTTTGATAAATCAGCCCGTTTACAATTCTACTGTGCATAAAAACAAGTTAAAATTCCCCCTTTGGGAATGGCCTAAAGACAACTTCAGTCAGTAGCACTGCTCTGGGGTGTTTTTTTTAGGGGGGGGGGGGGTAATTGGTGTACTTTTGGGTATTTTTGTATGCATATGTGTATGTATTTTTGTTGGAATATGTTTTTGTATGTGTGTTTGCCATTGTAAACTAAATTGCCCTTCTGGGATCAATAAAAATGTGTGTGATGTGATTAAACGTGCTTTTTGTAACGCTGCATATCTCTTTCTCTCTCTCTCGCTCTCTCTCTTTCATTCTTTCTCTCTCTCATCTCTTTCTTTTTCCCCCTTCTCTCTCTCTGGCCCTCTGTCTCTCTCTCTCTCTTTCTCTCTTTCTTTCTCACTCACTCTCTCTCTCTCTCTCTCTCTCTCTCTCTCTCTCTCTCTCTCTCTCTCTCTCTCTCTCTCTCTCTCTCCATCCATTCTCGAGATCTCTTTTTCATCTCCCTTTGTTGTCTCTCTTTCTAACTAGTTGCCTTTCTGTCTGTCTGTGTATTTTTTTGTCTGTCTGTCTGTCTACCCCCCCCCCTTTCTCTCTCTCTCTCTCTCTCTCTCTCTCTCTCTCTCGATCTATCTATCTCTCTCCATCTCCTTCTCTCGATCTATCTCTCTCATCCTTTGCAGTGTTCCAGAACACATAATTTTAAAAAAAGTAAATTATTTGAGCGTACTGTTTTCCTCCACAGATGTTGCTGTGCACGTTTACCAACAGGAGAACTCGACCACAGACCTGCAAGGTAAAGAACCTCCCATTTATTTATTTTTTTTTTTCAATGTATTTATTTACTTATGTATTTACTTATTTATTTTATTTATTTATTAGAAAAATGTTGGGAAATTTGGATATTTGTAGTGTTGTTGTTAATCTGTTTACAGTTGCAGGCAGCAAAACATTAGTCCCAGGTCTCTTGATGTTTGGGCAACAGGAAAAAAGGGGCGAGGGGTAGGGTAGCTGGGTAATCAAATATCTCCATCTGTCTAATAGGGTGTCTGTGTCGTATTTGACTGCATGATTTAGCCATGACCCACGAAGGCTGATCAGCCCGCCTTCTTAAACTGTGTGGGTCAAACGCTTACAACCAGGAGTTGTTTTTTTTCTTGCTGGGTTTTTTTATTGTTTGTTTGTTTGTTTGTTCATTTGTTCGTTTGTTTGTTTGTTTGTTGTTTGTGTGTGTGTGTGTGTGTATGTGTGTGTGTGTGTGTGTGTGTGTGTGTGTGTGTGTGTGTGTTTACTTTTGAATATCCAAACCCTCACCTGAACATCATTCGTGGTCGTGCTTCTGTTGCCCCTGGTGATGACGTCAGCCCCCAGCTGTTCCACCTTCATAGTGCTTAGTGAGAACCAGACCAGGACTATGTCATCTCCCGCCAACGTGACGTCACAACCCTGTCGACTGCTGGTGTCAGCACAGCCAGGCCAGCGGGTGAGAATCTGTTTTTACGGCTGCTGAGGAGAATGATTTTACACAAGTTTCAACAGGACTAAGTACAGTACACTTTTCCGTTGAACCACGTTAATGAACAGAAGCTCTCGGTAATGGAAAGCGTCTGTCGTTGACCTGTCATTCAAGAGGGTAGGCAATGAGGTGTGACCTTTTAGGACAGAAACGATAACCCCAGCTTGAAAATAGGGCACTACACAGGGGTGACGAGCAATACCATGCTTAGTGTCAGTAGTAGTAGTAGTAGGATGTTGGGGATTAAATAACACTGGTGTAGATTGATGTATGTGATGGCCTTTTGCGTCTTGACATATGATCTTACAGCAGTATTAAAGATACAACTTTGCCTGGGCAGTACACAAGTTGAAATGGAGCCTTTAAATGTTCAAAACTTGGCAAACGTTTATCTTCCGGAATTGATCTCATCGGTCACAGCAGAAACCACCGTAACCTTTAATACTTCTCATTCTTATACAGGGAGATAAAAAAAACAACAACGGTACAACATTTTTTTTCTAAATATCTCGCAACAAAAATTGTACTAAAATTGTGTAGTTTGGAAGTGATACAATTCCTTGAAAAGGAATTTGTTAGACCTAAAATTCGCAAAGAATAAACTTGTTTTCGGAAACGGAAAGAGCTTTTATAAAAACCACCTATAAATGCAAAATGCGCCAATTTAAAAGATCTTGTGGGGACAGTCATTAAATTATTGGTTCAGTTTAGTTGTTTTTTTCTGTCCTTTCATTTTAAAAATCTATTCCTTCAATTCCTGTAACTTTTAAACAATATTTCTTTTCTCCAACAGAGTTAAATTTGTTCTAAAATTCTGGAATTCCGAGAATCAAAGGTTTCTATCTGGCGCGGTTCGTCCATAGAGCACGGTCGTACAGTGCCGCCCAAAATGTTGTAATTTTCTATTACTTAAAACACCTTCTATCATAAAATAAAAGAAGCCAGAAACAAACACTAGCCAAATATTATATCAAAACAAGATCCTCACTGGCACCATAACTGTCATTTCTGTGTCTATAGCGCCGTAAAACATCTATGTCATGCCAAAGTCCACACGTTTTAGCTAAACGTAATAGGATATTCAACAGTGTAACCTGACCTATCGCTCTTGGGGGATAACCCAAACGATGACGACACTCGTAGCGAGTTTGGCGGTACATTAGTATTAATAAGACGGCACATCTCAAATGTGCTCCTGCCGAATAGTGCCGAAACATAGCCTACAGTAGGCTGTCTAAAAATAAATGCGATAGACCGTACACTATTCTTTGCCAATATTATTATGTGAGCCCAGTAGCAATCCAACGGAGTGCTCAAGTGAATTGTGATTGGTTCATTGTCTGTCTTGCCACTATTTTAAGTGACTCTGTGACCGTGAACCTAAGGGAGGTGAACATGACCGTCCTATTAGTTGTGCCCTTGGGTGGTTTTGTAGTGGAGTAGTGAAAGTTACTACTTGAATGTTCACTTATAATACAGGATGAACGAAATTGATGTTTAGCTAACAAACAAATTTAGATCTAGAAATTAAAGCGACAAGTAAAAAGAATGAAAATCAAAGCACGAGGTCCTGCCTCATCAACCCGAATCTTAAAATTATACACCGTCTCATTTACTATGGCCATGACTATCTTCAGCATGCGATAGCTTAATTGTGCACGTCCACTTTTTAGCCCCACGAGCCACCCCAGGTTTCTATGTCCTCCATTGGACTCGACACATTTGAACGCATCGTTCGCAATGTTCAGTTGTTACCAAACACAAGGATCCACTCAACCGTGAGTACTCAAAGCGACACACACTGTACACCTTACAGTATGGAGCTGTTTATAGAGACAATTAACGGGGGAGGGGGAGGTTGCCCTAGTAGACAGCCTTTGTGGAGTTGATATAACCTGAAAAGTGAACATGGGATTTGCCAAGGAACCAAATATCATAGAGGAAATGTTCACGTTTTTCAAACGGTCGAGGAATCATGAACACGTTGTTATCCTCTGATAGCTTCGCGAAAGGGAAATTGGTACAGCCGTAGATGAAGATATGCCTTGAGAATGCGGGTCGTTGAGATGTAGGAAAGTCATTGCTGAAAGCATTGTCTACTGACAGACGTACGTCTCATGAGTCTCATCTACTGAATTCTGCACTCTGGTTACGTTTAAAGGGGTGCGAACGGTGTGTGTTTGGCCTGAAGTGGACGTTTTGACAATGAATTTTTAGTTCTGATTCTCTATAGGTCCTAACTGATGGACCATTTCCACCCCTGACTTCAAAGAAGTCCTTAAGAGAACTTTAATAGTATTTCCGTACCTTTTTCAAAACTTACAAAATGAGTTGCTAGTGAGGAAATGTTCAATACTAAAAGCTCTCTGCTCTTTCCTGATCTTAACCATGATCTCAGCAGGCAAAGGAAACTTGAGAAAATCTATCTGCAAACTTCTGTTGGCCTGTTAGACTGCTGTAGTTTACAATATTGCGCAATCGTTAGGATTTTTAGTGGTAGGCCGAATGCAAACTAGTGCGTTATGCTACAAAAATGGGGACATAGCTGAAAATGGGTTGTTTTTTTACGCGCTATGTAGAGCAAAACTATATGGTGGATTTATCTAAAGTGGATATCAGACAAATTCCTTTTGAGGCCTAAATAATGTAGTGCACAAATTTGAAACGCAAAGCTTCAGTGTGGAGGAAAATATTAAACAAAAACAAGTTGTACAGTTTTGTGTTTTTTTATCACCCTCTATTTCGCTGGAGAGATATTTTCCACTGCGCATGAACTGGCCACAGTCAGATATTGACGGACGAGCTATCATTATTATTATTATTATTATTATTATTATTATTATTATTATTATTATTATTATTATTATTATTATTATTATCATTATCATACACAGAGGAAGTAGATTGTCCAGGTACTGTTTCCCTCTCCTCTGATCTTGACTTCCTTGATATGCTCCAAAGATTGTCATTACTCTTGGAATCAAAGAAGATGTTACGGTGTGTCTGAGTATTTCTTTTTCTTCTCTGCTAGATCTCAGGAGTAGTTGGCTACTTGTTGTTTACGTATGTGTGTTAGTCTTATACGGAGTGCCGATCGCACGACTCAGTCGCCTCAAAAACAAACGTGTTTGTTTTCAGTTTCAGGCGACCGAGTCGGGCGATCGGCCAGATCCAGCCATAGTGGGCACCCCGTTTGAGGGGTGCCCACATTCACGATTGGGTCGGGTCGGGTCAGATCGGGTAAGGTCGGGTTGGGTTGATCTGGTTGGCGGGGCTAGCCAAATTGAGGGCGCAAAGAGGCCATCGTGGCACAAACCGATCGACTCGGTAGGTGAATTACTAGAACAATTCCGCTTGTTTTTAAGCCTGTGAATAGCGCAATCGGGTGGTTTGCAGCCAATCGTAACAAGGCTTTGTCACGGGTCCATGTTGACACTCAAAATTAGGTAGCGCCGTCATCGAAACAGTGCAGACTTTGAGAACATAGTTACCTTACTTGTGTGAAAAACAATAAAAGTGAAACTAACAAACAGTGCTATTCCTATTCTTCTTCTGGAGAAATGAAAGAGAGCTTCAAAACAAGACTGCACCACGACCTGAACCAATGCACGGACACCCGCGGACACTTTTTTCCCCGAGTGAACAAGAGCTATCTTCTTATGAACGGTCTCTGATAATAGAAAGTTATCAATATAACTATTGTAACTATGTTTATGGGATTCCATGCTGCCGGAGCACTGCAACAGGGAACTGTGGAAAGGAGTTCTGGAAGCCATTAAGGTTACAGACTTCTCTACTTTATTTTCCAGATCGTTGGTTACAATCGCGGCGGGGATGTAGTGTGCACTGAAACCACCAGAAAACGACCAGACCCGACCTGACCCGATCCACTCTCGCTAGTGGGCACCCCCTATTATGCATCTATGATTCTGACGCGATTGTACGCCAGATCTCCCAAAATGTGTCAATGAAAGTGAAAAGCATTTTTGTCTTGTTTATACTTTTTTTCTTTACAATTTCTCCATTTTTTAGATCAAAATGTCCGCCCAGCTGTTATGTAACCAAGGATGCACAACCGAAGACGTTTTATTCATAGACAATGTTCTCGGATTTGAGACGTCATCGACACATCAACTATCGCAACCGATCGCCGTGTGCCTGGGTTCAAATTCCAGCCAATCAGAACACGCGGTGCTTCTTTCGACCAATGACGGGTACTTTCTGTGGGAGTTGTGGTTAGGTAGCGGATCTGCAGCCTCGTACAATATAACCCTGTCTGCTGGTAAGTTGGGGGGTTCTCTTTCATTTATGTAATGAGTGTACTGTGACAATAAATAAACAATTTATAAATAAATAAATAAATAAATAAATGAATAAATAAATAAATAAAAAAATAAATAAATAGATTTCGACGTTTTTTTGACTGCATAAAAACACCAATGATGATAATGATAAAACATTGACGAAAACAATTAAACCATACTTTCCTCCATATCCCCAGAGAGCATATCTGACCCTCCATGCTCCGAATGTACCCATTGGACCTCAGGAGTCTCGACATCGGAAGCTGGCTACCCCTGCAATCGAGAATCGAGATTCAAACCTGTGCCAAAACATGATAACCTCACAAATGTAGCTGCTGAAACCACGACGTCCACATCTAATCTGACGTCTCCCACCGATGAGATAGGCAACAGTTCACTAACAACTAGAAACATAGTTCCTACACATACTTCTGAACTTCCCTCAAACACGAAGCCTTCAGTCGGGACT